CACTTCTGTCTTCACAGCAACCAAGAAACTACAAAATTACATTATTAACAAAAGCAATGCTAGTTAGCTCAGGAGAATTATGTAAGCAATTAAGAGCCAGGCAGAGGCATTATCAGGACACACCCAGGCATTATGCAGCCACTTTTGTTTCACACCTCTTTTTCTTGATTCTCTGGTATTTGTGCTTAAGATACTGAATTCAACAGAGCAACAGACAATACCAACTGACAGTTCTGTATTTATCAGCTATAAATGCTGTTTGAAGGAGTGGGAAGCAGATACCTGGCATACCTATGAGATACAAAGGTATATTCCTTCCCAAGTAGTAAAAGTAGATGTAGGCCTTTACCTACAAAGTTTACCATATGAAGACATTTTCTTTAACATTTGCTTGATTACTTTGGTTTGCATTTAATTATCTAGATGGCTGAGTGGTTTTGTAATTTTATAGCTGGCCCGTGCTAGTAATTGATGTGGTGGTGTCATTCTTACTGAGGGCTGGTTTGGAAATGCATAGGGTTTGAAAAGCTGCTTGTATTTAAAGCCGCTAGTTGTGATGCAACTGATGCTCTACTATGAATTAAATGAAAGAATGTTAAATAATTTGGGGTTTTTTTTGTGTACTTTACATAACTATAGTATTTACCCCAAGACAACACTGGAATCAATAAATCAATGATGAAGATTGTGGCTGACTTTGTGAGTTGTTCAAAAACATGTGTTTTTATATCTCCTAGATACACAAGTCACATACCTTCCTTCCCATCTGTTTTCTTTAACATAAAATGAAGAAAACCAGGTTTATTTTTAATCCAGAAAAATAATTCATTAACCTTTAGGTTGACTGAACACTAGCATGTGAGAAAGGAAAATTAAAAAAAAACCCCTCCCCCTGCCCCCAATAAACTTATATTCCTTTCCATCCCTGTTTCATATTTATGAATCTAAAAGTAAAGAAACCCTTATGCTAATGAAATAAATCTATATTATTTTCTGGAGGTAGAATGATAATCTTTAGCTACACCCTCCAAAGTCTCGAGACCTCATTATCTAAAAAACCATTTCTTGTCCTATTTCCATCACAACAACAATCATCTATGTCAGTGGAGCACCTTGGGCGAGTGACGACAGTTACACAGCTTCGCCTGTAGCAGTTTGACATGGTTTAATTTTGGAAGCTTTCAAAGACTCTGTATTTGCTTGGACTATTGAAGTGGAGGGGTTGTCCTTCTTACTTGGTTGTCACAATTTCTTTCTCATTTGGGATGAGAGTCGATTCATGTCGCTAGACAGAGATAGTCCATGATATCACTTAACTCTTCTATACATCTGTTTTCCCATACGCAAAACACAAAAAGGGACTACATCCACGTGAGATGCTAAACCTAAATTTTAGAGATCCCACCAATTAGTAGAACCAACTCCTCTGTCAGTAGTGCTCTTATGTTCTCCTCTCAATATCTGCAGAGAGTGAGAGCCTAAGAAGAGGATTTGCAAAAGCCTTACTTAGCCAGCAGCAAGTGCTAAAAGCATAGCAGATGCACACATGGGTAGTTTGTCTCCTTCTTCTTTTGCAATAGATAGTAGTGAAAGCACACCTGAGGTCCAGAGCCAAATCCCTCTTCTTCCTGAAAATGCTTGATCCCTATGGAATATCATAAAGGAATGACCTGAAGGAGATGACTTTTAACCAAAAAGCCTCATTTACCAACTTCTTACAAATCTGTTCCTAAACATGCAGCCAGTACTGAAAATGGTCAACAGCAAATTCCCTACTGAATCAGGACGCCTAAAACATATTTGGACTGCAGACACATCAAGAGTTAAAGGGCTTTTTAGGGAGCAGAAAGAGAAGTGAAGGATCCAGCTGTGGACTTTAGGCTTAAAGCTGCAGCATGCATGCTGGAAGGCTTGGACTTTGCCTTAAAAAAACATGGTAAATAGCATTTGACAAGTCACTGCATTGGACTTCAAAACTAGCACACATAGACTGGGTAGAAACAGTTCTTCCTTAGATGGTCATTGTTAGGCATAGGTGATACCCTCAGAGATATACGTCACTGAAGGCAGAAAAGGTAGAACTGCAAAAAGACCACAGAAGGTGTTGTTATTTTTCCTTTAGGACATGTTAAAACAGTGTTTTTTGCAAATACTGAGAGAAGGATCTGACTTTTTCGATACTCTTTTTGCCACTTATAACCAAAATAAAGCAATAAAGCTTCTGCTGATGATTTTGTTGAGAATTTGTGTCATACAAAGGAATTCCGCAGACTGCCGTTGTCAATTTGTCCCTGTAACAGACTAAAACTTGTTTAGTCAGTAAACAGATATGTCCTGAAGGCTGCAGAAACAGATCTATTGGGCAAGAATTTCAAGAAGGTACTGTTTCTACACACTTGCTTTTGAAGTCACAATCACACTTTTTTTTTTCTATGTAAAAAGGACTGTAATGCTTATTTAAGAATTTCTTTGTTACCTTTGTTTAGATAACACCCTGAACAATGTCACTAAATCACATAAGCTAAGTAAAGATTGTTTTTTACAAAGCTTATTTCATAGATAAGAAAAAATGAGGAAAAGAGAAGCACCTAGCCTATGCCAAGGGGAAACTGAGAAGGGAGCTTAGCTCTTCACATAACCTGGTGCTTGAGACCAAGCTCATTGAAATCACCCCCAAAACTGCTGTTGACATTAGCAAAACCTAGCACAGGCTCCTTATCAATCACTGGAAAGACACTCCCCAAGTTTGCACTGCTGCCCAAACCTATTTTAAATCCCTTCTTAAAAAAAATGAAGCATTTCTGCTGTGCCACTTACAAGAAAATAGCCAATGAATAGGCTGTAAATGAAGAAATCATGTTTATTTTATGTAATTTAGAGCTTTTAATGGTTGGATGTGCTAGGCTGTGTAACTCCATGATCCTACCAATACCCTGTCCCAACTCCAGTAGTAATCCAACTTGTTGTTGCACCTAGTTCTTTTATCTCACAGCAAAGTAAACTGCTCAAGGAAACTATGCGATTTTTTTGTGGTGTTGCAGTTTAAGCAGATCCTAATCTGTTTTGGAGATGAAGCAGTCTTAAGATATAAATAACCAGTGCCTCTCCCAAACAGATTTTCACCAATTCCTTCAGGAAACTCACAAACTCAATGTGGTTCACTGAAAGAAGTGTGAGTCATACTGCCCAATTTGACTCTTCAAAATGTTCATGTGTGTGTGTATTTCAGTCAGGTTTGGGGATTTTGATTCAGTGTATTGTAAAAACAAAATCCAGCTATGGAGTTTGGGTTGATATTCAGAACAGACCTCCCCTTGAGTCGGGGCCCTGACTCAGAATATCACTGAGAGTGATCTCGCTCAAAGCCATGTGAGTGACTCACATATTTACTTCTTTCTGACTCCCTCTCCTCTTCCTTTCAAGTTAAAATATTGGGCCATTTTTCTGACATCAGCTCACTGACATCCAGCTATCAGCTGAAAGTCAACACAGTAAAATGATAACCTTTCCTCCCTAAGGTCCTTCCACCTCAGCAAATGGCACTTCCCTGGACTCTGTTGTTCTGCTCTGTAACATCTGCCCAGCAGCCACATCTCTGGAGCATCTCTGCCATCCAACCCACCACTGCCACCCCTGCACCCACAACTTGGACATCAGTGACATCCTCCCTGCTCCAGCCCCTCTTGTCTGGGTCTGGTAAACAGCATCCTGCCCCCTCAAAGTGCCCACCGATTGTGGTGAGGTGGCTCTACCCACCTCTAGCACAGTGTGGAGGTTAATCTTCCTGAGTGTGCACAAGGGTGGTCTGCACCTTCCCCAGCACCATCTAGTACTCTCTCATGCACGTAGGATATACACATAGGAAAGGGATGGAGCCCCTCTCTGGTAAGAAAAGACTGAGAGAATTTGCATTGTTCAGCTCGGAAAAGAGAAGGCGTCAGGGTGACCTAATTACTGCCTTCCACTACCTGAAGGGAACTTAAAGGAAAGATAGGGCAAAACTATTTACAAGAGCATGTAAGGCGAATGGCTTCAAATTGAAAGAGAGTGGGTTTAGATTAAACATTAGGAAAAAATTCTTTGCTGTGAGGGTAGTGAGGCACTGGAACAGGTTGCCCAGGGAAGTTGTAGATGCCCTATTCCTAGAAGTGTCCAAGACCGGGTTGGATGGGGCTCAGAGCAACCTGGTCTATAGTGGAAGGTGTCCAGGGAGGTTAGAACTAGATGATCTTTAGCGTCCCTTCACCCAAACCATTTTTTATGATTTAATGATTCACGCGCTGAGCACTGCTGCTCTCCCGGAAACGCTGCTTGCCCGCTTTCTCTAATGTCGGGAGGCTTTTGTTTTTGTTTTTTCCCCGCGTGTTTCACGGTGCGCGGGCAGGGTGAGTCGGCTGTGCCCGATCTGGGAGAGCCCCCTCCCTGCGCGGCCGCCCCGCCCGGGCCCCACGGCTGCCCCGCTGAGCTCAGGGCTAAATGGGGCGGTGAGCGAGAGCCGAGCAATGCGCCGCTCGCAGCGGGGCCTTGTGGGTAGGGGAGGCCGCCTGCGCGGGGCCGGGGAGCGGCGGCCGCGCCGGGCCGGGCGGACCGCGGGGTGAGCGGCGAGTGAGGGACGGAGCCGCAGCCGGAGCGGCGAGGCCGGTGGGGATCGCGGCTCCCGCCCGGGCAGCCAGCGAGAGCTGCAGAGGGAACCGCGCTCTGAGCTCGACCCCGCGGCGGCCGCTCCTCCTTCCCCGCCCGCCTCCCTCCGCCCGCAGCGATGTCCCGGCGGAGCGGGCACTGAGCCGGCGACCGCCGAGGGACGCCCCGAGCGGGGAGAGGCGGGGGCACGGCGGGAAGCGCTCCGTCCCTCCCTCTCCCTCCCTCCCAGCTCTCCCCTCCCCTCTCCCCGCGCCCGGGCGGAGCAGCGGCCGTTTCCCCGCGCCCTTCATGCCCGGGCGGCGGCCACCGGCGGCGCTGCCCTCCGCTCCCGCCTCGCCGCCCCCGCCCTTCCCCGGGATCGCCGCCGCGCTAGGCCCGCCCGGCGGCCCCGCGCAGTGCCCTCCGCGGGCCCGGCACTAGGCGGGCCGGAGGATGAGCCAGCAGCCGGCGGGGAAGATGTCGGCGGCTCCCCTGGCGGCCGAGGCGCCGGAGCCGGCGGCGGGGATGCTCGAGGGCCGCCAGAGGAAGCTGGAGTCCATGATCCGCGACCCGCGCTCCCCGGTCAACGTGGAGAGCCTGCTGGTGAGGGGCGGCCGCGCCCGGGGGCAGCGCTCGGCGGGGGAACAAAGGGAGCGCTGCCCTCGCCTCGGCCGGGCGGGAGGGAACGGGAAGGAAGGAAAGGGCTCCCGCGTCCTGAGAGAGCTTTCCTTGGGGGAGGACGAGAGATTCTCTCCACGCCCCCGGCCGGGCCGCTGTCGGCGGGGAGGTGGCGGGATCGGCTCTCGCCCCCCGGGGCTGTGCTGGGTGAGGGGCCGGACACGGCGCCGTGAGAAGGGAGCGAGCGCTTCCCAGTTTGGTACATCTTACTGTGGGGGAAGTGAGAAATGTCCCCGGCAAGATCTGACCCGGGGAGGAAAGCGCCTTGTTTGCTCGCCCAGCATCGTTCACACCGTTCGCTTTCGCGCCTCGTAATCGCGGGTGCCCGTGCCCAAAGTACCTGCCTGTGTGAGCGCTGCGGGCACTCATCGCTTACCCCCTCCAAAACGTCCCCTGGTAAAGATGAGGTTCCTGTGTGATGTGGAAGTAATTCAGGAAAAGGACACGCCTAAGGGAGAAATGTAACTGGGGGTCCTGTGGGGTCACGTTTATTTTCCACTGGGGTAAATTGATTCGTCTTGTCTCCTGTTTCAAATAGCATTTTTCTGTGTGAGTGTATGAAATATAATTTAGTAAGAAATTCGTGCCCTCGGGAAGAAGTGAGAAGGGAGTTAGATTTCCCCATTTAAAACATCCTAACTGGAAAGGCAGTAAGAGACAGATTATTATTGTTGTCGTTATTTTCATTATCATTGTTATTGTCATTATTGTTATCATTATTATTGTCGCTGTTAACTCAGCTTTAGGGTCTTCAAATCTTATATTTCCAGTGTGTCCCAAGATTTCCAATGTGTCCCAGTTATGGGGAGCAGAAAAGGGGGGAATAAATCCCAGGGCTTCCAAGAGCTGCTCAAGGCACTCACACTGTGTCCTTTTTTTTTTTTTTTTCTCTCCTCCTTTCAAATAGCTCAGTTCTGTTTGGCCAAAAATACAGGAACTGACTGAACAGTATGTATGCCTGTGCTGTGTGGAGAATATAGGAATTTCCTATAACATCTGAAAAATGTTCTTCCCGAGGCTGTAGTGCTGTGTTACTCCTCTCATAGATGTGCAGAGGCATAATGACAGCCATAGTCAGTGGAGGGGAGTGGGAAACAGCGCTACAGATCTGACTGGGTTCAGATAAGTTTTTGCCTAGGCCAAAGCAAAGAGAGCTGCCTCTGGGCTTCGCTCCCAGCATTTTCACTTTGGTATTTTGCTAGGAAAACTTTGACCTGTGGCCAAAAAAGAGCAGTTAAAAATAGTGCAGTCGTTCTGAAAAATGCATCAGGTTAATACTTAACCCCAGTAGACTTTTCACACTCTGCTTTTATACTCAACAGTGTGATTCTAGTCTTGTCTTGCCTCTCATGCCTTGGACATAGATTAAATACACTGAAATATATTTACATTTCTGAAGAGAAACTCTAACTGCAAAATTGAGACTGGGTTGCTTAGAACTTGATTTTTGTTTGTGTGTTTGTTTGTTTTGTATGCTTACAATGTAGCTTCATGTAACACATTGGGCAAATTAGCAAACCATGGGAGAGTGTTAGTTGGATTGTAAATGCATTTTTGTAATGCTAAAGGTCATCACTTTCCTTTCTGCACTCTGTAAGTATTGTTTAAAAAATGAGCAGCAAGTAAAATCTAACACTAATCAATCAAATGTCCTGGCTTATGCATTCTACATGTCTGTGTATGAAATAATTAACTATTTATTATTCTTATTTATGAAATTTGCAATGGATTTCCGGTAAAAGCTTTTTCTTTAGGGCTTTAATATTGTTGCTTTATGCTATTTGACATTAATTTTGCATTTGCATGCTGCTAAGCAGTCTGATTGTGAAAATATCATATTCATATTGAAAAATATACCTATTACTAAACAGCTTACTTACAGTGTAAATTATCATAAGAGGGAATGTATTTTTTGTTTAAAGTAGAAATGCAGCAACAGAAACTAAGAGTCAGGGAAAACATCTTAAAAAGACTAGCTGGAATGCCACTATTTCATCCTCCAAAAATAACATAACCAAAACTAAAAATGTGGAATGGAATTCAAAATGGAATTCATTTCCTTACAGTGTAAAAAGTCATAAACAGCTGCTATTCTGCATTTTGTGTGCATGCTTTATTTTTGGGAAGCCATAAAAAGTGAAAAAGTAACTCTTAATCTACAACACATGGTGTGAATTTGAAAGACATGAAAAGCTGAGGTAATAAGCTGTTTTACTCTAGATACCAATTTCACTGCTTATCAAGAGCTGTTTCATTCAGTGCCTCTAAATGAAGAGGCTTTCTTTGTGTACCTCCCTGGCCACAGGATGGCTGACCACATCCATCTGTTTCTTCAACAGGAGAATCTATAAAGCCAAATACATTGATTGATTATGTTCTTTCCACCCCCCTTTGGGCTCAAGAGAAACCATTAGATTTTCTGATGTGATTTTTGCTATATTATATCCACTAAAACTTATTATTTATACCCGTGTAGAGCATAATTGTTTGTGTTTGATTAAAGAATATCTTTGAAAAAGACATTTATTCTTAATTCAGAGGCATAAAGAGATAGAGAACTCACCACCACCCAAATTGAAATGTATGGTATGGTTGTCACCATCCTTTTTCTGCCTAAAAAAGGGAAAAAAATCATAGAAGACTTTCCACTCATTAGCATAGATCAGATGTGCAGCCTGTGCTTGGTGGGGTTCTCCTGGGTTTGGTCTGATAAAGAGATGAAATGGGAATGCTAGAACTGTATATACTCTGTTCAGTGATAGGTTCCACCAAAACATCTACAAAGGGAAGTGGTTATTGCAACCTTATTCAAACGTCAACCAAGTGCTCCTTTTCTCATTGCATTGTGCTGAAAGCCTGTTGTTAAGTTGCCTCTGCTAAGATAAATAACTTTGTTGTCACAGCTCTTGCTCTTTTTGGTCATGTAACATTGCATTAGTGGTTATGAAAACCCGTTTTGTGTATTACATTTAGATCGTGCAGATCCCTTTGTAAAGCTGCTGTATTCTTACTATTTGCTTTTCTGCCAGTTGTGTCATCCACTAATTTAACAAAGTGACATTTTTATGCGTACTGCATGTACACATGGATGATAGCACCTAATGGTATTTGACCTTGGGTGATCTATAAGAAACCCATCTATAAATACATTCCTACTGAATAGTACCTAGTTGACAACTACATTTAAGGAGAACTTAATGGTTCTCAAATACATTTGTGTATTTATGGTTTTGCATATGAGCTCTATCTACAGTATTAACTGAGTTATTTTCTGTAGTATTCAATACACATTATTCAGGGGTGCGCTGGCAAGTGTTAGCTGAACACTTAATGTGTTCTAAAACTAGAGCCAGATAGGTCATTGTAGGCTGTGGAAAACTAATCCAGACCTCCACTTCCTTGGCCTGTGTAATTGTATCACTGCAGCACATGCTGAAATAAACTTCAGTGTTGTATGGTGGTGATGAACAGCTCAGATAAATCTTATCATTCTCCTCCCTGCAGTGGTCTGCCTGGGCCTTCTGCTGGGGCTGCAGTTGAGTGTAGTTACCTGGAGAAAGGATCTGGTGTCTGCCCCTGGACTCATTTAGTCCAAGCCTCAGGATTTTAGTGTTAAGCTTAAACTTTGGCATTACGCTGGTGGTGTAAAATATTAAATATATTCTGCCTGCTCTGTTATGGTTGCTATGTGAGCCTTTGAGAGAAGGAGCTCTTAAAACTGTCAATTAGACAGTGCAGCAGTGAAATTGTGAGCACAGTGCTGGGCTACGCCGGGAATGCAAGCATGGTGGACTGACAAATGGAGAGATGATTAGCAGGAGAGTGCTCAAGTGTCTCAGAATATACATGCCTTAGAACTTAAAAAATCCAAACCCACAAAACAAAACTGAACCAATTGGCCATTTATTTTTTGTTAATATAAAACTGACAGGTAAACCGTGTGTTTCCACTAGTTTGAACATGAATAGGTGTTCATCTGTGTTTACCCTTGCTATTGAGACCCTGGAATTTTACTTTTAATGAAAAGTGGGTTGCAGATACAGCTGTGACTCTCATCCTTTCAATAGGTGCATCTGTCCATAGTGATCTCATCAATTGAATAGATGCCAACTTTATATCAAGAGTGTAAATTGAGCAGATCTGAGCTCTGTTAATATGGGGTCTCCAAGTCATCATGGTCGACACAATGTATCCTTTTGCTGGATTTTGGCCTTATGAGCTTTCTAAGTGTTTCATATTTAATATGAAAGTTGTTTCATTTTCCTGAATTTATTGCCGCATAGTTTTGAATCAGCAAGAGCAATCTGTTGTGTTAATTTGAGCCAGCAAGTATGGGGAAGAGCTGAAAATGTACCAGTTAGCAGGATCTGATCTAAAATTCGTGTCCCAGTAAGTAGTCAGAAGGCCAGATGATTCTCTATTCTTGAAGAAATAATCTTTGTTTGTTATATTTCTTGTTCTGTTGTTTCTCTATTAGTTTCTTACTCTTTCTATAAATTTTCTATTTTTGATCTGTAATTTTAGAGCATCTGCTGCAGAGTTGAAAAAGGTGATCTTTAAGGAAACAGAATTGTCTTTTGTTCATTGTTCCCCTCTAATGGATTTATATATAGCAGTACAGTTAACTGGAAAAGGACAGGTCTATTTTCTGACAGCTTTACCTGTTCTTATATTCTGTCTTACTCTACATTAGGATTAAAGTATTTCATTTGAAGTGTAAGAAAGCAAATCAGCTTCAATACTTTTACTGCTATACAAGATGCTTGCAGATATGGTGTATATGTATTCACAAGAGGAATGTTCACTCCAAATATTTTGTCTGTATTGATCAGATTGCAGAGTGTGTCATTGTACCCTTTAGTTGTTCAGTGTCTTTAACAACTTAAGGGAAACAAAAAGACACCTACACCATCAAATTAGCACAG